ATTCAACTTCATCTCTGAAAAACAAAAGATCCCAGAAGAGTTCATACAAGGGGAATCTAATGAAGTTATCCTCAACCCTGAGCACTCACTGTGGGTGAGACAAGACCGGATCTTGGCCTCTTGGCTGCTTTCCTCCCTGACTGAAACCATTCTTGTGACCACAGTTGGCTTAACAACCTCAAAGGAGATCTGGGACAGCCTTGTGCTTGGTTTTTCAAGTCACTCCAAAGCAAGAGTCATGCAGTACAAGCTTAAACTGCAGACCATGAAGAAAGGTGGCTCAAACATGAGGGATTATCTCAACCAAGTCAAGTCTTGTTGTGACACCCTAGCTGCAGCTGGTCAAAAAGTTTCAGAGGAAGAGCAAGTAATGCACATACTAGCAGGCCTTGGTCATGAATACAACCCTGTAATGGTAAGCATCATGTCCAAAGCAGAAGCCATCTCCCTCAGAGAAGTTCAATCCCTCCTTCTCACCTTTGAATCAAGAATTGAAGCCATGAACTCAGATCAAAATCAATATAGCTTTGATGGTTCAACCCTAAGCGTTAACTACACTGAACACACACAAGGAAGAGGTAGAGGCAATAACCATGGAGGAAGAGGAAGAAATGGGCCCAGAGGAGGCAGATCTACTTCAGGAAGAGGAAGATGAAGGTTTGGGAACAAAGGTGTTAGATGTCAAGTGTGTTTCTACACAGGACATACTGCTGACAGATGCTGGTACCGCTTTGATTCAAACTTTGTTCCCAACACCAACAATGGCAACAACAGCAACTCCAACAATCAAAGCCAACAAGGGAGGAGCAGAAATCCCACAGTCCACTCAACAAACCTACTCACAGCACCCTCATATGAGCCTTCTGAAGATAGCAATTGGTATCCTGATTCAGGTGCAAGCAATCATGTGACTTATGAACTCTCAAATCTCAATCTTGCCTCAGAATACCAAGGAACTGAAAAAGTGCAGGTTGGCAATGGTAAGAATCTCAAAATCTCTCATATTGGTAATTCTGTTATGAGCTCTAGTAACCATCAATCACCTCAGTTTGTCCTCAAAAACCTGTTGTTTGTGCCTGAAATCACCAAAAACCTATGAAGTGTTTCTCAATTTGCCTCTGATAACCATGTTTATTTTGAGTTTCATCATGATCATTGTCTTATGAAGGACCAAACTTTAGGAATGACCCTACTAAGAAGGAGAGAAAGATGGTTTATACACTTTCAGCCTGTCCAGCTCAAATGGTGATGTCAACCCAACAGTCAATCCTTGTTCATCCATTTCCATCAATCAGCTTCAGAAAAAGAAAGAAGATGTAGCCATTTGGCACTCTAGATTAGGACATGCTCTATTAGACATTGTCAAAAGAGCCCTATCTAGTTGTAATCTTCCTTTTATTTCCAGTGATAATAAAAAAGTTTGTGAATCTTGTTTGCAAGGAAAAATCCATAGATTACCCTTTCCAGTTTCTACTGCTAATCATTATGATGTTCTAGATCTCATTCACACTGATTTATGGGGACCTGCCCCCATCAAGTCATTCAATGGTTTTCAATACTGTGTCAACTTTATAGACCACAAGTCCAGATATTCTTGGTTGTATTTACTTAATTCCAAGTCAGACACCTATAATGCTTTCATACACTTTAAAAACCTTGTTGAAAACCAGTTTGGAAAAAGAATCAAGAGTGTTCAAAGTGATGGGGGGACTGAGTTCAAAGCATTATCCAATTTCTTCCTTCAAAATGGAATTTTTCATAGGATATCTTGCCCATACACTCCTCAACAAAATGGTCTAGCTGAAAGAAAGCATAGACACATTGTTGAGATTGGTTTATCCCTCTTATCACAGTAACATCTCCCTCACAAACACTGGGATGATGCTTTCTTTACTTCAAGTTTCATCATAAACCGTCTATTCTCTAAAATCCTTAACTTCAAATCACCAATGGAGCTGTTGACAGGTCAAAAACCAGATTACTCTCACCTCAAAGTGTTTGGATGTTTGTGCTTTCCTTATCTAAGGCCATATAATAAGCATAAACTTGAACATAGAACTCAAGCTTCAACATTCCTTGGTTACAGCCAACAGTACAAAGGATACAAAGCCTTACTTCCCAATGGTAAGGTGATCATAACCAGACACATACATTTTGATGAACCCTTCCCATACCAGTCAAAGAAAGACAGTTGCACTATCAAAGAACCAAACATCCAATTTGTGCCTCAACTCCCTACTGTTATACCTCTCAAAACTCCTGATTCATCACCTCAATCCAGAACCAGCAATACTCAAACAACTACTCCTCAAACATCCACATCCAATCATAACTTACCCTTTCATTCTCCTCAACACTCATCCATTTCCATTGGTGAGCTCTTTATAGAATTACCAATAGAAAGGGATAATGAAATTCTAAGTGAAAATGAGAATGTCAGAGAAACTAACAAATCAATGCAAGAAAATGCTCATCACATGGTAACCAGATCTAAGGCTGGTATACACAAACCTAAGGTGTATTCTCAACAAACAACTGAAGAAAAGATTGTTGCTCATTTTGAACCAAAGAACATGATTGAGGCTCTTGAATCTGTTGAATGGAAGGATGCAATGAACAAGGAATACCAAGCCCTTTTGAAGAATAATACCTGGTCATTGTGTGAAGCTCCAAAACACAAGGATGTCATTGGCAATAAATGGATTTTCAAAATAAAGAGAAATGCTGATGGAACTATAGCCAGGTACAAGGCTAGACTGGTAGCCAAAGGGTACACTCAACAGCCAGGCCTAGACTACACAGAAACTTACAGCTCAGTCATCAGACCGGTTACCATTAGAACAG